TTTTATCTGTACTCTCCATAACCTTCAGCTTGATGACGCTCAAGTAGCCTTACTCATTTCCTTGCTTATGTCACAGCCGGTAAAAAAAGAAACAAGAACATGTGAGTCTCTGGACTGCCAGTCCCACAGCAGGAGCTTTAGTTCTCTCTGTCCTCAGACGCACCAACAGAGGAAACAGCTGACAGTCACGTCTCAAACAGGAAGTATTGCGACTTGATGACTGTTGTTGCACAAGTTACTTACAGAAACACAATAAGAAATATTCACAGAATTTTGTATCAACTACTAGTACAATAATATTGAATATTGGATTGCTTGACTGAAAAAGCTTTACATCTGGGCTAAGAGTCAGCATTTTGTTAGCTTAGCATCTTGTTCTTTAACAATGTAGGGGAAGTAACTCATGACATGAGTAAGAGTTCAACCTTTCCAGGTTTATACTTTTGTGTTAGCTTAAGTCTACATTTCTTTTAAGATATTATGCCAGACTGGATTCAAGCTTCCTTTTAAAAGCAGGGGCCCGCCAGAGTTCACACATTTTCCAGTCACACAATAGCTACATTTGGGTCGTAAACATTACAATCTCAGTCTAATTAAATCCTTGGCATCACCACAACTTTTACATTGAAAAGGCGTGTGTCGTTCTGTAGCTCTCTTCCTCTTCCTTTACCGAGTTCCCGGCACACAGCTGCTGTTGGGTGCCAGCCAGTGTCTGAATTATGAGGAAGCACCGGAGGGGGCACAGCTCCCCTTAAAAAGATACTGGAGCAACACTGACAGCAATAAAAGCTAATAGTCAACCCTTAATTTTAATAAGGAATGACATTTCAACCCTTACAGTGGTTATTTTTTCTATGTTAGAGCAACACGCTATTTCTCAAAGCACAGGAGAACTGAAGCCGATCTGAACTTAAGGCAGCAAAATGTAATTGAATATTAATCACGTTCCCCATTTCCGGCTTCCTACAACTGACATGATCTCATGCAATATTGAGGTGTAAATTGTGTGCACCACTTATAGAAAACCGAGGCATATCAAATCAAGTTCTTCCTCATAGCCAGCTGGCTCCACTTTTCTCCAATGCCTACATGTTTGCCGCAACTGGAACGCAAGTCGTCTTGGAAATGCCCCGGTGAAGGTGGCTTGCGGTTTTTACTTTTTTTCCTGCCAGGTCATCATCACCACCACCACCATACATGTACAACCAATGTTTTGATAGTCAACACTGTTTACTAGAGCAAACAGATGTTAACAAGAGGGTTTTTCTGCCTTCTTTAGTTTGCTGTCAAAGTGTGCCAAGTTGAGGCATTTCACTTTAAAACGTAGCCTACAGAATTTAGGACGTATTATTAGGAGTACATTTCCAGGAAATCGGAATATCGTGCAGCACTAATTTGCATATTAGCAGGAATGTAGCAAAACATGTTAAACCAGTACTTTGTTTATTCACTCAAAATCAATTAATAATTGTGATAAATAAACCATGATCTCAGTATAGATCAAAGTCAACGCGATGTACCTTTTGGTTATATCCGTGAAGCTATATTCGATATGGTAAAGTAACAGAGTAATGTTTCTCGCATTTGCACTGCTCCGTATTGTTGGTTGAAATTCTTCTGTTTGAATTTCAATATGCCTCTTTTAAATATGAGGACATTTTTGTTTATGTAGTCATTCATTGTAGCATATACACATGCGGAGCACCTGTGCATGATTACACTGCATCACACGAGTGGTTTGGTGTATGCTCATCATCTGTGATCGTGTGGTGATACAGTGAGTAAGCTGCGACAGAAGCTGCCAACAGCCTTCATGTGCCGGTGTGTGTGGTCCTCATATGTGTCTGATAGAAGAAGAGTACACTGTATCATCATGTATCACCAATATGTATGTTTAACTGCATAAAGCTTACTTCAATAGACCTAATCAAACAGCTTAAATGTGTGGCAGCCAAGGTGCAACATCCCCAAAATGGTGCAGCACATGTTTGCATCACCCTAGTGCTATGAAACTCCTTGAAAAATCAAAGCACCCACAGCTATACCATGCAGACATTTGATTACTCAATAGCCTAGATGTTCTCTGCAACTGTGAGTAAGGGTTTTAACTCAAATGGTAGGGAAAGGTGATACAATACGCAATTCAGAGTTTGTGAAACTGCAAGTCTGTACAAGAGGCAATTGTCAATAAAAATGTTCAACTAAACTGTAAAACATGATTCCAACTTGCCTCTTTCGTCATTAATGTACAAGTTAACTGCGGGAATACAATTCCCAGTGGGGATGAGTTACTATTTAGGTTATGTTCCTGAATATGTGCGTGATAGATATTATCAATATAAAATGGAACATGTGTGTATCGAACACGACTGTGTAGGTAGAACAATGGTGCTACAAATATGGGCAGCACTCTACTCCTTAAGGAAAGCCCTGCCGATATAAACTCCATAGGGCCCAAGATGCTTGAGAAAATCTCACCTGTACAGTCATATCTGTTAAGTTAATCCGAATCACTATTAATAATAAGCTGTGGTAAAATGATCTCGACTGTATGCTTTCCATGTTTTAATAAAAAAAAAAAAAAGGAATCAAATTTTACCTGAAGGCTAGTAGATAGTTTACACAAGAAAAGTCCAGTTTGTGCAGGGACAGATGTTATAATCAAGGCTACGTTTGAATAGTTACCCTTAAACATCAGCAATGCAAGTTTGACACAGGTATCCCGGGCTGCATGCTTTACGTATTGGACCAAAACATTTGCCTCTTTTGATTTGATAAGTCAATAGCTGAACACAGTTTAGCAAAAACATAAGTTACAAAGGTTCTTTCTTGCAATAATGTTCAAATTATGAGAACAGACTAGATCTCTAAAGAAAGAAGGCCCTATGGATTCAGATATTTGCCTACCGTGGCTACCATGACAATTTAGGAGTTGAGAGATTCCTCTAATATCTTCTGTCTGTCACACCAACACTTTTCCTAAAACTACTAGTCCCCAATTTACTTGTCACAATTGTATTGCTCTCACTTATCAGCCACAGTGCTGCTGTAAACAGCCACAGGAGCTGGGGATAAGGCCCTTTCCTCATGGCCTGCCAGAGTTTCCCTGTCAAATATTTATAGAAGCTGAAACACTAGATGCCCGACATCAGACTTATTGCTCTCTACACAAGAAGCCAGGCAAGAAGCAGCAGCAGCAGAGCCATTTCAGGGACCAAAGCTCTCATTGAAAAACTACTTCTGAACAGAAAATGTGTTAATCCACTGTTAAATAACATTGACGCACTTATAAAGCTGTCAAGTGAACATGAACCTTTAATGGCAGTGAGGGGGTTGGAAAAGGAGATGGCCATCTTTCGTCTGAAAACTGGGTATTTTTCCAAATGATTCACTATGTTTTCATTTGATTCTTATCCAAAGCTATGCTATATTTGAAGTTAACAAAAATGGAGTAATCGAGAAGACAGGGATTGTGTGTCCACCGGTCAGAGGTGGAAGAAGTACTCAGTAATTTAGTAGAAGAAGAACTACTACAGTGTAGTGGTTCATATTTCACAATATTATCTGCAAAAGTTATTAAATAAATGTAGTAGAGTAAAAGTACACCATTTACCTCTGTAGTGGGATATAAGTACAAAGCAGCATACAATTGAAATACTGAACTAAAAAGCAGAATTGTTGAAGTAGAGTACTTGAGTAAATATACTCAGTTACTTTACACCACTGCCAACGGTAACACTAGCTGTTAACATTATGTGTGGGCAGCTGCCGGCTAGTTTTTGTTAGGATTGCCAGTTTTTTTAGACAGTTTAACAAACATTCTGGAAACATCTGTAACCTAACACGCAGCAGAAGTTGCTCTGTTTTCACTTGAAATGTATATACACATTCTGGTGAGGTAATTTAGCAACAACACCAGTATAGTTAGTCACCAATATATATTTTAATAAAATGGGCCAATCTCTATAATGAGTACTTTTATTTTTGGTACTTAAAGTATATTTTGATGCAAATACTTTGGTACTTTTACTTGAGTAACATTTTGAATACTTTTACTTGTATCAGAGTATTCCTACACTCTGGTACTTTTACTTAAGTACAATCTCTGAGTACTTCTTGCACCTCTGAATAACACCAAGTTAAAACTGTTGAGCTAACAACAGCTAAACACTCCCAATGATTTAACTAGCAGGGCTACATTTTGAGTAGTGTTGCCTGAGCTTGATACATTACCGAGTATGGTGTTCAACTATCGGTCATGGTAAAGCTAACCAACCTAACAACCAGGCCCAGCAGCAGTTGAGACATATTAACGGCTAGGGTAAGACACTTAACAAACCGGACTAGAGGCAGCTTTGGATTAACGATGTGAAACATAATCACACCTTAAAAAAGACTTTAGTTACACCTGGAATAACATTTCCAATCTACCTCACAGCATACAAAGTAAATAAAACTAGCTCCACCTTTACCAGCTTTGATAACACTTTTATGTATAAATAATTATAATCAGTAGTATATTTTAATGCTAATAATGTTGTACTTTTACTTGGGTAACATTTTGAATGCAGGACTTCTTATAGAGTACTCCTACACTCTGGTACTTCTACTTTTACTTAAGTATAAAAACAACACTGTTAAGCTAAGTTAAAACTGTTGAGCTAACTCTATATATATACAGTTTATGAGCTAACTACAGAAAAACACCCCCAACGATTTAACTACCAGGGCTCAATTTTGAGTAGGACTGCCTGAGCTTGATAAATGACCGAGTATGGTGTTCAACTATCGGTCAGGGTAAAGCTAACCATCCTAACAACCAGGCCCAGCAGTTGAGCCATATTAACGGCTAGGGTAAGACACTTAACAAGCCGGACTAGATGTAGCTTTAACCAGCCTGCTGTGTAATGTATCGCAGCAGACTACTGACCTCACTCTGTCTGTCACAGCCGAGACAAGACACACTTAAACCATCACGGTTACCGAAAATGTTGACTTACCTTGCTGCCCTGATATCCCTCAAACGCTTTCAGTGCGCTGTCAGTGAGTTTAACGTGAAAGACGGAGACATTGCTACCGTTGCTCACTCTTCCACAGGACAGTCCGTAGCACTGCTCCTCCTTCAGCGCCGCCATCTTTGCTACCGTTCACCACCATGCGCACGGACGCACTCGTACTGTCGTAAAGCGAGAACTCCCGTTGCTTTTCTAATGAATATTCAGTGACCGGTCCCCGATGATGATGATGATGAAGTCACCGAGCAGTAATGAAGCCCTATATAGTCACATGTGCAATATCAACTACATTTACACTTCTGAATACATAATATAACATGTATGCAAAATGAATGGACCTACATGTAAAACTAATTTGGAGAAAACCATTTAAATATATACTAGCATATACTAGCATTGTATTTTCTAATTATATGTTATAGTTATTTATGGGTGACAACAAATATAAAATTTTTCATACAGCTTTTAAGAATGGGCATTTCACAGCAGTGATGCGTAGGAAAGGGAAACGATAGGTCATCTAATTGCGTCAGCGAAACGTCAATGTCTGAGGAAGAAAAGAAAAAAACTCCAGTTTGGGAATATCCACAACATTTGTGAATGTCCACCTGTAATCTAATAATAGGAGGAATGTAAATGCTGAATGTGTTATCTTGTCTTTATTAATAACACATATTGAGTTTCTGTATAACTATAACACGTATTTAAATGAAATATGTGTCTACCTGGAACTGGTTCACTTTTATATTTCTTCTATTGCCAGTTGTATGAGGCATAAACGCCACGCATCTTGTGGACTATGGATACTACATGATATCAGTTCAGGATGTAGTTAAAATCAACATACATGGTCATGATTTCACTGCATATATTGTCCTATGACACAAAAAAGAGGCTGTAGTTTGATAACAGACATATTTTATTGTGATGAATATAAAATTAACAAATACAGGGAATGCTGGGAACTTTCACAACTACTTCATTTGTATGCAACTTTTGGCTCTGTAGGCCTGCAATCTACTCTGAAGAAGCCACAGATCCATCAGTGTCAGTTCAACTCGTGTTAGAAAACAATAACCAAAATCAAAACAATAAAAAAAAAAATCACAGGCAAAAAAGTAGGGGACAAAAGAGAGAAAGAAAAGATAAACACCAAACATTGTACTTAAATGGTCATCCTTCAACATTTGGTCTTAATCATCAAAAATTGAGGTATAATCGATAGAAACGGAATCATTATAAATAAACTCTCCTTTAGCGTTACTCATAGCCACATCACTGAGAAACTATGTGCTCCTCTGTTCTGTGTTAAAACTGTACCTCAATAACAGAACATCTATTTAAGCTGTGACCAAGAATTTAGAAACACTGGAGCATTGATGTTGATTTATGTTTCTGTTTGTTGCTGTTGACAGCGTCAGAAACGCAATGATTTAATTCCTTGGTATGTTCTGGGGCACCAGTTTGTTGTATTGTGTTTTACTGCATTCATAGTTTTTTTCTTAGATAGATTCAATGTTCAGATCAAGACACAAAGATTGATTAAACACACAAAAAACTTTGGCATCAGTCAACAAAAGATGTGTGTGCTGTTGTGTTGCATTACAGGACCGGTGCGTTCTATTTTCTGATCACTTAACATATAAATAGAGTCTGTAGAGAGTGTTTAAGAGCTAGCATACAAGTCAGAAAGATTTCCATTGTGTGGACCTCTAATATAACATCTGCATTAACATCAGTCAAGATTAAACATTGTACCATCATTAAAATCAAAGTGAAATCACATATTCTCTCTTGGATAGTAAATATGAATTTACCTAAATAATCTGGCGTTTTAAACTATAGCATAACAAAAGGACTATATCACAATAGCTATTCCTTAATGGGAAAACATGATTAAATAGCTCCTATCTTAATCTATGGTAAAGTATCTTACACTTTGATGATCATTAAGCAATTTCCTACCACCAAGAACATAAACAATGGCAGCAAAATAAAGCAGTGTCTGGCAGCGTGATGGATATGCATAAACCTACACATTTAGAACGTTTTCATATGCAAATATTGACGTTTTATTCATTTTCAACTCGTTCTCAAACATAGCAGAGAAACAAATGACAGTGGAGAGGAATCTGACCAACCAACAGACATTTTCTCCCCCCCTCGACCAAAGATTAGAAGGCTGCGAGATGTGCTTCTGTGTTGAGGCTCACATTGCAGGGGCTTGGTCAGACTCATCACAGACTTGGTTCAGTTTCTAGCAGCTATGACGACGGACAACGCCACACCGCCAAGGGCTACGGCAGTGGCACCGAAGAGCCATTTCCAGCTGAGACCCTAGGGAAGTAGCAGAAAATAAAATAAGACGAGAGAAAGAATGTTAAGAATGGTCAAAAGTCAAAATCTAAAGTAAAATATGTATTTGACCTAACATTTTTATACTTAACTTGTTATTGCACAAAGGCTCCCTTGATAATTACATACATCAATTCAAAAGCACCAATTTAAACGCATGAGCATCATATGATGATAGAGAGCCATTTGCACTTAAACACTTGAACAGATTTGTTTCCCCAGCAATGACTCTCACCCATGAAGACTTGGCCCGGTGTTTCTGTGAGCTGCTGCTGCTGCTGCTGCTGCTGCTACTGCTACTACTACTAGCGGGGTTACCCAGCATCTTCTTATACAGCGCCTGCTCGGCTCCTCTCTGCTCCGAGTTCTTCTTCACCAGCTTGGAGAGCTCAGCATGGATTGTCTGAACAGAAGAGACAAAGACAAAGGCTTCAGATCGACATCCTAAGGTGTAAAACAAAGCAGCGTAAAAACATCAATCACTCGGATGAACAGGTTGTAGCAGCATTGCTCAGGTGCTGTGGAAGCAATGCTTTCATATTAATTTGTTTGTTTGTACACAAAGTACTTCTTAAAAATGTGTCTGTTGACTGTGTTGTTTTAAACCTGTTTCATGATGGATACCTTGTAATTTGACTGCATACCTACAGGTAAAATCAAAAACCTCAACTCAAAACCTTGCTTTACTCTACCAACCTAGCTATCCCGACATGAAAGGAACAAAGTCCTGCTGCTGTAAAACAACCTAGGTATGATTTCTTTGTTAATGGAAATATGTGAAATAACAATACACTTACATCAACAAACAGAAGCGTTCTGGAAAGCTTTACAAATGACTTATCAGGAAAGCTTTTCAAGATATGGATGAAGCGTTGATGGATGAAGCATCGATTAAACACTTGTATAAATAAATGCTGGGAAATTATTTGTTCTTACAATAAATCACAAACATAGCCTGCCATTGACACGACATGTACAAAGTATTCCAGTATATGGGTTCAATTATTGTTCCAACGTTGTCTCGGATCTGAGTCACTTCGCTCTTAAAGCTGGTGAGTGACTAAGCAAACCAATGTTTTTAGAAACAATGTAAATGTTTATGCTTTTTAAAATGCACTTAAGAGTGATGGGGCCCTATAGCATTGAGTTTACAGCAATGTTCACTAAAGTGGTATTTAAGAAAGGTCTACCTTTACAGATATGTGTAATTAATATAAGTGTCTAAACCCTGCCCTGAGGATTTATCCGTCATATTCTTTAAAGAACATATTAAAGCGATCATGTTGTGATATCTTGGGAGGATCTGTACCACACATAAATCTATTTCTGTCTGTACAGAACAGATTGTATGATTTGTAGACATCTCTGCAGAACCACGACACTTTGACACATATTCATGCCTTTTACAAATAGTGTGCCCCCAGCAACTTTGATATTAACTATTCCACATTGTCCTTTTGATAAGGATCCAATTCATTGTTCCTCTTTATTCAGCAAAGTGTTTGAACAGTTGGCACCACTATTGTGCAATAAGCTAACCACCAAAATGACAAAAATGACAGAACACTGACTCCCAAGGACAAGGACTAAATAGGGTAAAAAAACATATAACATCCTGTCCTAGCAGCATCTGAGGCTGTCTAAACTGGAACCGTCAAGCCTGCGTGTCATGTCAAAAAGTAAACAAACCCCAGACAAATACATTTTCTCTCATTAATTTGAGTTTGAGGGTATAAACAGCCGACACCAGAGTAAAAAATTCAGACAGCATGTTGCTCAAAGCTTGGAGAAGAGCGATGGAGTGTCTTTCTGTCACTCCTGTCACTGCTTCAGTTTGAGACCGCCTCATTGATTATAATGGGAGAGTTCTGGCATTGTCCCTGAAGCACACCCACTGTTCTTGCTGTTGGAATACAAGGTTATTAAGGGAGAGCTTTCATTATTATAGCACTTAGATGTAAGTCCATTTGGACGGCTAAACAGCTAATCTTATAGGTTTAAAAGTGTGTTGACACAGAGCCATCTCACATACACAACATTTACAGCTATGCATTGACCATATACTGTATATAAAGGCATTGACACAACAGCCAGAAAGTGGAAAAAATGACATGCATCTTTTTATTGCCTCCACACGGGCAAAACTACAATCTACCTGGGATGCATTATTGCAAAATGTAATAGTACATTATATTTACACTACGTGTGCTGGATGAAAAGCTTAAGAGGTGGCCACGCCATGTGTTGTTTGACAGATTGGTGTAGGACTCAAGTGGGGGATTCTGGGCTCGAGTACCATGCTGCTGCAGCTCAAAACGAATCCAAAAAGCCCACGCACTGAGCTCAGTTCTGTCAAACGGCCTTGTTTGGCCAAAGAACCGCATACACCCGACTGTAATAGCAGCAGCAGCAGGAACAGTAGCTAGGTATTAGATATGGCTGGGTGCAGGGCAGACCTATTTACAGCAACAACATGAAAACAGATCCCCTGAAATGATGAGTCAGCAGTTCACCTGACCTTGCACAACAAACTAAGAGATTTGATGATTAGCCAATGGCACCATCTACTGGTGATAGGGAATAACTGCAAATTCTCCATACTAAAAGGTTTGATTTACCTAAATAGTATGTGAAAAGCCCAATAGTACCTTGTTGCTTGGTTCCAACTTCAGTGCCTTCCTCAGAGTTTGAATGGCTTCTGCGTATTCCCCTTGTAAGGCTAGTACCTTGATTAAAAAAAAAAACCCACAAAGTTCAAGAAAAACATCCGACTTATAATGACAGTGAAAGAAAAAGCGTGATGTTT